TGGGCATGGTGGTGCGTGCCTGTAATCCCAGCTACTCAGGAGGCTGAGGCAGAAGAATTGCCTGAACCCAGGAGGCGGAGGTTGCGGTGAGCCGAGATTGTGCCATTGCACTCCAGCCTGGGAAACATGAGTGAAACTCCGTCTCAAAAAAAAATAAAAATAAAAAAAATAAAAATAAAAATACATTATTGTAACAGGTGTTACCCAATATACATGCTATTCCTATTAATAAAATTAAAAATGTTTTATATACCATAGAATTTACGTTAAAATTATATTTCAAGTAATACTTCTCACTTTACATTTATAATAAATTATAGTATTCTAAAACAAAATCCACCACTCTGTACTATTATTTCTATATGCCAGAGTTGTAGTACTTAGCTTTTGTAAAACCTTTACATTAAAGAAAAAGAAAAGAAAAAAAAAAAAAGAAGAAAAAAACAAAAAAAGAAAAAAAACAAACAAATCTGTCTTAGCATACTCACAATGTGATAAAAGTTTGCTATTGTATTTAATGCACAAGAGCTTACTTTGACATAGAAAAACATTTTGAATCCTGAATACACAATACTTTTCAGCAAAACAGCTTTCAAAGCAAACCTAAATGCCCTATTCTAAGCTTCTATCCTAAATCCTTCCTTACACATAAGGCAACAGGTGAGGGGGGAAAAAAATTTAGACTGATTTTAAAATGCATCCCCACACTCACGGTCCATTCTTCATTACCTCTAAGGTCCTAGGATCTCTGTTTAATTACAACTTGGGGGAGGGCACTGGGGGAGCAGAGGAAACATTGTATCACATTTATAGATATTTCTGAATATATTAAAATCAGGATTGTACACCCTACTGAAGTTAGAAGCATAATTCTAAATTATCCTATGTGAGTCACAAAATGTCAAACTTCCTCAAGGAGATAACTTTCCAAATAGTCTGTGTGAATTCTACATTACAGTACCACTTCAGAACAGAAACAGTGTTAACAAAGTTTATACAGATATGATGCATACATTTCAGAAAAGACACAGAGGATGGTTAGTCTTTAAGATTCTGCTTTGGCTAACTTTCTGAATAATAATTTTATACAATACGTTCACTGAAAAAATTGCCTTCAAAATAAGTGCCAAAACTGAATTTATTAGGCTGTCAAGAGCGATTTTTTAGGTTTTAAGAAAAGAGCTCATTAAAAGTGGCAAGGAATCTCAGAGATAAGGATTTCATAGATCCTGAAAAGAAGTATACAAATCTATAAGTTCACTTTTAAACCAACAGTAACAATAAATACAAGAGTAGAACTACAAGAAAGGAGTGTACCAAGCAGTATTCCAACTTCCTGGCAACTGTGGTAACTTGGGGAGAGGAGTGAACAGGGAGAAAACATCTCCAAGAGCTCCTCATGGTCTCTGCCTTTGTTCTTATTGGCATTTTAATTTCTGATGACAGACTTTTGTTGTTTGGGGCATAAACCGGACGTACCAGTTTGGAGGCACAATAAGGAGAACAAAGAATGATTTGTTCACACTGTAGGAAAAAAAATCTTTTCCAACCATAGAAAATAGCTTTCGCATGGTGAAAATATGCAAATTACATACCAAACCAAAAAAGGGGTGGGGGTAGTACAACTCAACTCAACTTAGAATCTCACAACTCAATCTAAGGCAAAAGGAAATTACAACAGCTAAGACAATAATATACACACAGAAAAGGCTATACAAGTTCTGGGAGAGCTGCAGAAGTGCTTTCAGAGAATTCTAAAAGCAAATGAAGGTCATCTTGCCCTCAGAACCAAACTTATTTCTAAAATTCTGATGACTTCTCATAGACTAACTATAATATAGAAAATTCAATCAAATACCAAAGACAATAAAAATACTGCTCTATAATGCTGCATTATTAGCACAGAAGTACATATTCACATCCCTACTTTCCCCTATAGATACTGGTTAAATGGATGTTTGAGGTCTGCAAATGACTTTTTTTTAGCAAACTTTATAGAAAGGTAACAAACACAGAAAAAAATACATATATCACAAGTATATGTATAACATGAATTTTAAATGTTAATATACTCTGAACCAGGAGACATCAAGAAACAGAATATTACGGATACTCAGAAGGTCCTGCTACATCTCTTTTCAGTCATAATCCCAACTCAAGAGTGACCATAACTACAATCCTGATTTCTATTACTTTATATAATTTCTACTTGTTCATCTTAATGTAAATAGGTTCACACAGTATGTACCCTTGGGAATAGCTTCTTTCACACATTATTATGCTTATGAAATTAATTCACGTTGTTGCATGCAACTGTAGTTTTTTATTCCTATTGGTATACAGATTTCCACTGTATCAAATTAGTACAATTTTATCCCTTGTACTGCTTATGGCATTGTTTTTATTTTTTTTTACTTCTAGTTTTTAGCTCTTAAGATGTCAAAGAAGCCAGGCACAGAGGCTCACGGCTATAACTCCAGCACTTTGGGAGGCCAAGGTGGGTGGATCACTTGAGGCCATGAGTTTGAGACTACCCTGGCCAACACAGTGAAACCCCATCTCTACTAATAATACAAAAATTATCAGGGCATGGTGGCACACGACTGTAATCCCAGCTACTTTTGGGAGGCTAAGGTGGGAGTATTGCTTGAACCCAGGAAGCGGAGGTTGCAGTGAGCCAAGATCGCACCATTGCACTACAGCCTGGGCAACAGAGCAAGACTTGATCAAAAAAAGAAAAAAAAAAAGAAGTCAAGGAAAATTGTAAAAGATGTTGAAATGGTGAAAAGATTATTATGTGTTCTGTGTGTTTTTTCTATGGATTACCAAGAGCTCTCTAGCAGACCCTTTGGGGTTATCTGATTCTACAGGGGATCTACACTTTGTCTTTGACTGGGCTACTGTACAATACTCTAAGTTGTAGAAAACTAATAGTAAAGGAATTGATTCTTGTGCACAGAAATGAAAATGAATTTTGTCTGGCAGAGATACAATTCTACAGAATTC